CCATCCCGCGATCAACACCGATGAGTTTATCACCATGGTCAATGATGAATAGCAGCTATTCAGGTATCTTTACAAGGGATTGTCTCTGCAGACCAGTTCATGACCGCATAGACAAGCAGACGTCACTGCAATGAATTAATTCGCAAAAAAAAACTGTATCCTTCCTTCCAGTGTATATTTCTACAGTTAGAGAGAGATGAAACCCTACCCTTCCCTGAAACTAAAACTAGACCTTTCCATCGGAGGAAGGGAGGTTTCGCGTAGGTTTGACAGCTGTGGAAGAAGATGTAGTCACAGAATTTGTTCCTTTGGAGGGAGATGATGAAGGAGTGGGGAACTTCTTGGGTAGCATCTGTTCCCAGTATGCCCTTGGCAATCTTGATGCTTCTGAGTGAACAATGAAAGCAAGAATACTCAGGAGCAAGAACTTGTGCCTCCAAGAACCTAACATGTTGAATACCCAAGAAATGCCCTCCTGAGCCCTCCTTTAACTTTCAAAGATGGCTTTAGATGGTTTGTGGCAGCAGACATGTTGAGCATTGTATGGAGACTGCCAACTTGATTGTTTGATGAAAGATGTGTCAATGGCAGACAATGGAGTATTTAATAATTCTAAACAGTTAGCAGCTCATGTTGCTGCCCTGATTATCTTAATAGAAGTAGAAGCAGAATGTTGTGAGAGTGAAGGCTTTAAAGAATGGTTTCACTCAGAATATTGGTCCCTACAGTGGTTGGTTTTAATCTTCTAAGCCTGGTAAACATATCTTGGTTGTCAGACTTAACTAAAGTGAAGCAATCACTAATGCCACTTAATATGTCAAATAATCAAATGAAGAACATTTCCCTATGCTGTTTCCAATGCAAATACCTATCATCACTACCTGCTATGCATGACATATTCAAATGGAACATGAATATAATTGTATTATAAAATCATGTCAAAGGTTTAACATTTTGAAATCTGGTATGCTGCTGATAAACATCCCATGGTCATGGCAATACAAGGCATGCATGCATGTAGCAACTAGCAAGTCAATACCAACCATTCAAAAAGCATAAATCCCCGGTATGCTGCTGATAAACATCCATGGTCATGGCAGTACAAGGCATGCATGCGTGTAGCAACTAGCAAGTCAATACCAACCATTCAAAAAGCATAAATCCTTGGTAAGCATGGATGCATTATACGATGTGTGTATATATATATATATATATATATAGACATTGTTGACAACCATCTACTCTAAAAGTTTAAGTTATTGGAAAGAGTACGTGCAACTCAAATAGTTAAACCCTTCAACACGCCCCTTCACGTGTGGCCTTTTTTTAGTCCAATGTGTTTCAATTTTAAATCAAAGTAACGGTGAGATTTGAATACAAGGCCTGCTCTGATACATGTTAATAACCATTCATTCCAAAAGCTTAAGCTGTTGGAAATGTTGTAACTCAAATGGTTAAATCCTTCAACACGCCCCCTCACGTGGGCCTTCTTTTGGTCCAACACGTGTTTCAATTTTAAATTTGAACACGAGACCTACACTAATACCATGTTAACAACCATCTACTGCAAAAATTTAAACCGTTAGAATGGGTGTAACTCAAATAGTTAAATTCTTCAACAGACCTAAACCATCAAACAAAAAAAAATCAAAGCGTAAACAAGCAAGCATGTGTCATTTTAAAATTCCCTCGTACAGCCATCCACCTCAATGATAGTAATTCCATTCTTCAATTTCAATCATACAAACATGAGGAGAGTGGTTTTAAATTATATTCAGGTAGCTGAGGAGCCAGACAAGCCTCATTAAGAAAGGGTTGAGAATTTTTTAAGCAGCACCAAAAGAAGCATCTTAGACACTTTTGTATGCTTCTTTGCCAACAGAGAAAATTGTTTATTAACACAAAAGATAATGGTTTCAGCAGTGTCAGTGAGAAATCATCATATATTCATATTTCATGGAATAGGTGATCATTTGGGCACCCCCTCCCCCCTACCCTTTTTGTTGGGGCACCCCTTACAGTAATGAAGATCTTATATGGAATCAGAAGGACCAAAACAGACAGGGGCTTCTCACTGTCCTTATTCTAGTGAAGGTGGCCCTGAGATAACAGGACAAGCTGGCTTTCCACTGTCTATTTTTTAGTGAAGGTGCTCACAAGATAAAAATAATAATAATAATAATAAACAATAACAGGAGCTTCTCACTTCTCACAAAGCTCCAAGTTGATAGAATGTTGGATGAAGTATAGCCTTTAATTGTGCAGGTTTTTTCAAGACATGAGGAGTTGGAAGAATGTGGACTTTGCATCTCTATCAAAGTGGTGGGCCAATCTTACACGCCCAAAGTATGGGGTTTTTTAATTTTTTTAAATACCTGTCAATGTATCAATTAATTTTAAGAGTTATAGTTTGAGGTTTTCTAGCTGTTTAAATATATGAGTTAGGTTTGAATTAATCTTTACTGGACCCAAATGCCTTTTATTGAAGAAAAACAATAATATTCAAAACATCAATTCTCCATTAGGTATTTTTGTCATTTATACATAATATAATAAATTATAATGACTTACTAATATTATTATTGATTATTTTACATCATTATTACAACTAATTTTAGAAAATAAAAAACTATACTTTTGCTTACATTTCTCAACAAAATTTAAGAATTTAAGAACTAAATTTTAAGTGCTAATTTATATGAAGATTTTTTTTTTTAATGTTTTTTGAATTTTAAATGTTAGTGATCATTGAGGTCTCCTTCATCTTACTATTTTAAGTAGAATCTCTATTGCGCTATCAAACGTACTTAATTGAAAAAGCGTATAATTTATTCATAATAATGAAATACTGAATTGAATTATCAAACATCAACTAAGTGACATAGATCAAGCTTCCAATGAGCCTCTCTCTTAAAAGAAGAATGCAAACTCCAAGGCATCTAATGCTAGTAAAATGATATGCAAACTCCACCGCATCTAATGTTAGTAAAATGATATCTACTGTTTTATTTTTTCTCATCCTAATCAAAGCCATAGTCAAACATACACTTTTTACTACATAAGGCTTTGTCTGGAATCAAAAACTGGTTTTATTTGAATTTCCATGCTAAACAATGACAAGGAGGAGTTCACATGCTCAGGGAGAGAGTACAAGTTATCAAAGATTGCTGAAGGAGAGTTTGAGGCATGAAAAGTGTTGAAGGATTTATATATAATGCAATCAGCTATGAAAGAAAAGAATAAATTGGTAGGAAAAAACAGAGAGCTAATTCAAGCTAACGAATAGCTTAAATATCCAAAACTCAATCTCAAAAAAAGGGAGAGGTAAAAGTTGTTGTAGTAGACAATTCCGCTCTTTCCAAAAGATTCCACCAAGCACAGAGGGGGGTCATCCTCCAAGAGTCACGAGTATGAACCCACCCTGTGGCCCCTCCAAATCCCTTGAAGTCCGGGGCATAACCCATTGAATGCCAAACAGACCAAAAATAAGACTCCGACAGAGCAATGCAAAAGAAGGTGATCACAGACTCTCCATCATTCTTGAACAGATGCAGAAACTATTAGATTTGAAAAGGAAGAACCATCCATTAAATACTTCCCTTCAAAACTATTTTACAACCAAAAAAAGATACTTGTCTTTAATAGTTCTATTATTATTATTAAATAAAAGGAGAAGAGTGAAATATTTCAGTAGAAAAATCTACAATAAGCATTACAAGCCTATATGCATGTTCATATAACAAATTTTATTATGTCCGGAATTTCCCAAATTAGTATTCAGGTTTAAAATTTTATCAGGTTCTTGTTATAACCATAATGTATAGACTTGTCAATAGATCGGATTTTGATCCAAATCCAATTCGATTATCCGGAAATTCAATAAAAAATTCGATAATCCAATAACAATCCGAATCCAATAATCCGTTACCTTAACAAATCGGATATGAATTATAAGTAATCCGATCGGAGAGTGATCCAATCTGATTAAAATTATACATATATAGTTATTACATTACAATATACTATATATGAATGTTATATATATCAGTTATATACTATCAAATTTATATATATTAATTATCTACCATTATATTCATTTGGTTGCTTAGTTATATTATGCATCATCTTGTATATTAACAATTCTCCACTCAATCTAACTTATATATATTTTAATTCGATTCTAAATCCATTCCGATCCGAATTCGAGCCAATTAAGATATGGATTGGAACATTCAATCCGATAAACCGTTAGCGATCAAAATCCGATAATTTGTTAGCTAAAGAAAGTAGATATGGATTTAGTCGATCCAATCCGTTGACAAGCCTAATCATGTATGGGAAGTAGTTGAACATGCCTCAGCAGGGCCAGTAATCAGTAAAGAGGATGCCACTAGGTGGAAAAACAAGCTCCAGGATTTAAGGCCAGTGATAGATCTATGCCCCATTCTTAATCAAGATGCTAGAGAGTATTTTAACAAAAAAAAAAAAAAAAAATAGACGCTAGAGAGCAGCTAATTTCATAGGCAGAAAACGCAAACTGTTCTGGCTGATTTTTGGAATATGGTATTTTGCATTCGAAGAGGGGTGAGCTTGATACAATGAAAACGTCACGGATTCAAAATAAGGATTTAGCCTCTCCGTATGTGGAGGTAAAATTGTGGTATATCTAACCTTCTCCAGACCCCTCGAGCTTTGTGCACTGGATTTGCCCATCTTTTTTAGTATTTTGCATTGGAAGGAAAAAAGCATAGAGAGAGACTTAGAATTATTGTAGTCTTTCAAGGATTAGTATGCAAATTTAGAACGCTGACAACAGCCATCAAGAACAAGAACCATAGCCAGAGAACTATTTTCAGAAGCTACAACAATTTTATGATAAGTTGACTTCCTAGTTGAAATCACAACCGTTCTCAGACAATATTGCATCTAGAACTTCAAGTGTCGTTACAATTCCTCATAGAGCAACAATATTTGAAATAATAAAAAAAAAACGTGGGGAATTTTCTTTAAGAATTTAGAATACAACATTCATTGATTCATGTAATACGATAGTGTTATTTTACAGTTAAAACTCTGGTTTCCAAATCCCTATAATTGAAGGGAATAAAAGATGGAAAAATGGTGGCCAAACTGAGAGGTATTACAAGAACAATCGACCAATATAAATTATACAAAGTGTAATGAGAAACTATTGCCATTGCATCCTTAAGAGCTGGTGGAGAAAACAAAAAATATATATATCTAATAGCAACTGCATTGAATTTTCAATGCTGGTAATTAAAAGATTACGATCATGCAATGGCTGAAGTAATTGTCTCTGCCTCTGTGGGACGCCATAATGTCTTTTCAACACACAACAATCCTTCACTGTCCTTTGAATACGTCAATCGGATCTCCCACTGCAGAGACCTTGCCATGTTCTCCACCTCCGCTATGGTCTCAACATTGTCCCGCACTATCAGCTTCCCTTCTGGCCTTAGAATCCTATCAACTTCTGCAATCACTGCAGCAAGCTTGCACCTGTGGCCAGGAAAATATATATATATATATATCAAGTTAAATGGAATTATTGTTGAGCATCTTTTCTGAGGGCTAAAGCAACAAAGAATATTTAATTTTTATTACAAACCTTTTCTTGGTATCAGAGAAGATATGATCTGCATGTATAAGATCGTAAGATCGGGGGTAAGTGCTGAATGATTCACACCAATCATGGTATATCCCAAACAAGCCGCGTTCATATATTATTGGAAGTGTGTCTGGTGAATCAATTGGAACAACATTCATAACCCACACTTTCAGGTCTTTCAGTGCTGCAGCAAATCTGGAAGCATTCGGATTAAGAATAAACACAATACAGTTAGAAATATGAGCATAATATTCTTCACTTGAAAGAAAATTCTATATAAAGATGCAGTGATGAAAATAAAAGAAAAGAAATCATATCCTTCCCTGTTCACGATGTCATAGTTAATTCATTTTATATTTAGTGTGCCACAACACGGTACAGAGGAGCAGGCCGGTCATTTTGAGTGAACAAGAATGACTACTCCGTCTAATGTATTGCAAATAAACTAATTTTGGTATCATGTAAAGACGTAATGCATCCCCCACCCCATTCATTCTTACCAAAAGCACAATTTGTTAAGTGCAACTAATTAGGGCCTGCCATGGATGACAAATTTCATCCTAGAAATGTTTAATAGAATTTCAAATGCTTACCCTCCATATATAGCTCTCATGTCCATGACATTCCTCACTGAAGACCAGTTGATTCCCAAACCATTTAAGTATGACATGGACACAACATGTTTCCAGTGCTTAAAATCAGCAGCAAAGTCTTCTGGAGCTGCTTTGCCATAAACTCCAACCTGAGAACTCTTCAACCAATAAGGTGGTTTTTTCAACCTTAGCGGCCATTGCTCTGGCCACTGCGACCCACGCTCTAATGCATCAGCTGGAGCTTTGTGCAGGCATGCCTCAAGTAGTACATTCCTGAATTCAAAGAATATATAGAACAATTTTAGGCATCTGTGTTGAGAAGAAAATTCGTTAAGACAACTAACAAAGTGTTTGCTTCAATAAAAGAGGGGCTTCAGTAGCCAAATGAAGCACCCTTTGGAGGCAGTACATTGTTCAAAAAGAAAAGGCTACTTTCTAACAGCAGCAGCTTTATTTATCAAAGATCAGGTGATGAGCATGCTTTAGTAGTTCGTCAGTGTACAATATTCCCTGTTTTCCTTTAACCAAATGACATAAAATGCACATCTTCTACCCAAGTCCCAAGGTAACAACTAGCAACTTTAGCGCACAAAACTAAAAAACGAAGGACAAAAGGAAATGTGGTATCCACTTCATATAATTTTTAGCACTCCTGATGCATTAATCACATTATTGAGAGCAAATATATCCAAACCCCCAGGCCCTGCCCCTGAAAAAAGGGGGGGAGGGGGAAACCAGAGACGGGCAGAGAGAGAGAGAGAGAGAGAGAGAGGAGGTCTTTACTTTTAGTTTAGTATAACAATATATCTGTGCCATGCAATCTTGTTTTGAATGAATATTAACAGGATATTTGACCATCCAAAGTTAATTGGTGAGTCCATTGCTTTCAAAGAAGGGTTTGAAGAAATTAACCATCTTTTTGATAGCATGAATATTTGTATCTTTATTTTACTTGGAACCTGTTAAAATAGAAGGATTACACATTCCAATACATGAACTTATCTTAATTTTATTTTAATGATTATGGCGATCACCTCGTGTTGCTACCAACTTGTGTTTCTCACTTTACGTATAATATAATACAATGGACAGATTTGAACACGAAAAAGCATACTCATAGCAAATGTTCCAATAAGACTATGTTCAGGTTTCTATAGAGTCCATAGGCACATTTATTACAGAATCAAGTATTAAAATACTAAAGCAGTGCCACAGTAGACCTACGCAAAAGTATATGTAGCAAGTTTATTCATGTGCAGTAAACTTTATATTTTACCCAATTCATTTTTGGAAAATCTGTTATCAAATACTTTCTGACCAGATTTACAGTACTTTTTACTTATCATAGCCTAAATTTGTATCGCAGACCCCTAGGCCTGTCAACGGATCGGATCGACTAAATCCATATCCGATTTCTTTAGCTAGCGGATTATCGGATTTGGATCGCTAACGGTTTATCGTATTGAATGTTCCAATCCATATCTTTATTGGCTCCGATTCAGATCGAATTGGATTTGGAATCGGATTAAAATATTGTCCCTAACATGTCTAATTATAAGTTAGATGGAGTGGAGAATTGTTAATATATAGGATGGTGCATAATAAAACTAAGCAACCAAATGAATATAATGGTAGATAATTAATATATATAAATTTGATAGTATATAACTCATACATATAACATTCATATATAGTATATTGTAATGTAATAAATATATATGTATAATTTTAATTGGTTCGGATCACTGTCCGATCGGATTACCTATAATCCATATCTGATTTGTTAAGGTAATGGACTGGATTCGGATTGTTATCGGATTATCGAATTTTTTATTCAATTCATATCCGGATAATCGGATCGGATTTAGATCAAAATCCGATCCATTGACAGGTCTACAGACCCCAGATGCAGTAATAAATACAATAACTTAGAAACAGAGATTACAGAAAATATTACCAGGCGGCATCTGGGTCATCAGATTCTTTGCACATCTGAGGCTCATTCTGTGGTCTTTTCTCATAGCAGTCATTGGAGGTTGGTTTCTTGAATATTGCAACACCAACTTCATTCAATTTATCATTATTAATCACCACCAGGTCCCAGCACATTGCCTTTGTTAGTTTAGACATAGCTGCCATCAATTTACAAAACATAACAATGACTATGAACTGTAGGAAGAAGAACACGGAACGAAACCAAAAAGGCACTTGAAATCAATCCACAATATTTCGCAAAATAGAAACATAAATGAGGATAATGACCAAGCTACCTTCCCAAATGCCAACATCTTCAGGCACCTTTCGGTAAACCGGAGTAGCAGACCACACAAAGTAACCACCAGGTCGCAAGAGACGATTCAGCTCCAATAGAAGTTTACCACCTGCGGTGCTCCTTAAAATAAATTTCAAGGCCAACAAAAAATCTTTACTAAAATAAAGCTACTGTCTGAAAAAGATGAAAACAGTCACCTTCAATGTGCCAAGGGACTCTGCACCGTGCACAATGAACAATATCAAAGACTTTACTGGGAAAGGGTAGTCTCTTGGTACCCATAACAGCTGATATAGCAGGGATGCCCCTTTCGAGAGCAAATTGCACTTGGGCTTCATGCTCATCCTTGGGAGCCAATGACATTGCAAGTACATCTCTTTCAAAAAGATATCCTCCAAAGCTGGCCACCCCACACCCAATGTCCAGTATTGCACGGGTTCTTTTTCCCAATGCAATATCAGGAAGAGACTGTTGTAGAGAAAGATTCAAAATTTCAACCATACAAACAAGATTAGAAACTTCATGGCAATTGAGCAGTGTTGCTTAGTAGAAAGAAGAAGTCGGGTGGAAAACATTAGGTATAAAAGAGCATGCTAAAACGGACGTCAAGATGGTGAAAATAGAATTATATATAAGTTGTAGAAGGCGGAAGCCATGAAAAAACAACAATTCATCACAAGCACAGGAAACAATAATAAAAAGAGATGAACAAGACACAAAATAAAAGATAAAAGCAGAAGACAGCATGTTCCATTTGGTTAGGAAGAGAATGATGTTGGAAAATGAAAGTAAAGAGAATGAAAGGAAATAATTTTCTTGCATGTATTTGGTTAGGAATTAGGATGGAAAATTGTATAAGAAAATATCATTTTATGATTTGAAGAATATGAAAGGCAACAAGAAAGTATCATTTTCATGTATTTTTTGCATGAAAGTTTTGGGTAAGTTGTGGGAATCTTACTTTCCACAGGCAACCAAAGCAATAGGTGACGTAATGAGGAATATTAAAAATTGAGATGGTCATAGGGTTTTCAACGAAGGCTATCGAAATACCACAGAGAATAAGCAAACAGTTTCAGATTGCATGCACAAGTAAAGAAAAGAGGAAGGGGGGAAATCATTTTAATAGTTACAGATGCATCAATGCGAATCTTCATTGGAAATATGAAATGACATGAAATAATGGTGAAAAGGGGTCTAGTCACCCATCGCGCTAACTGAAACAGAGATTTGACAATGGATTTGAAATCCAATGTTACAAAAGATGATATCAGGGATATTTAGGGTTTGTTAGGTATTCATAGAAAGTTGAAGTCAAGTAATATAACTATATCAATTTTCTTTCCTTCTATTCACTGAGATAAAATATTTCAAAGAAATAACAAGTCAGTAATAGACTGGATAGAAACCTAACTTTTGGTATAATTTTTCACTAAGTGGTTACTCTCAGACTCAAATTGGTTTTCTCATGCTTGGCAGCCTAAGCTTCTGCTATTGTACCAACAGTGGCACCCAAATATACAGAATTAAATACAAAAATATTTGAAAATACAAGTTCTATATATATATATATCACTTCATCTATGTTAGTTCAGATGACTTATTTTTGTCTCAAGTCAAAAACCAAGAGTTCGGATTGCAGTGGGCAAGGAACCATAGTGAACCTTTAGTCAACATATAATGAGCATGTTATCCTTTTTATAATATATGCATAAATGTATTTATAGTAAGATGAATATAGGAGCTTTTAAGTCAGTTGCGACAAGTTACCCTTCATCTATGTTAGTTCAGATGACTTTCTGTCGCAAGTCACAAACCAAGAGTGAAGGATTGCAATGTGCTGTTTCTAATATATGCACAAATGTATTGATAGTAAGAATGAATATTAGAGCTTTTAAATTAGTTGTGACAAGTTACCCTATACCTCATGCAAAACATGGTACAAAGAAGCTCAAAATTCTCCCCAAAAGTTTTTATGTCGAGATGTATATAATTAACACAACACATTACTAAATGGTTCTTTCTATGTTTGGCAATAAAACCCGGAGAACAGCTTAAACGCACAAATGCATATAGACACAGCAAAATAATGTATCATACATGTACCACACAATGCATCATGAACAAATTAAGAATGAGAATACTATGAAATTTTATGGGCAGAAAAGGAAGCATGGCAGAATTAACAAATAATATATGGACAGCAAAGGCAGTATGGCGGAATTAACGAGGACTAACTTGTTGGATAAAATCAATGTAATGAAGGGCACCATGCTTAAACTGAGTCCCACCACCAGGAAAAGTAAGGTAATCACCATCAGCTTTTACCCAATTTTGATGACCTTTAACCTCTGCAAGCTTGGTGTGGGGAACATTATAGTACCATATCTGCAAATTGAGTTGAGTAGCTCGCTTTAACCAGGACAATCTACAACTAGAAGAGGTTTTTCATATGAATCAGTGGAAATAAGAGATACCTGTTCCCTGCTTTTAGGCCAGCTAATTGAGCGTCTGTATCCTTCAGGTAGACGGACAAGGCAAGTTGGAGCTTCATCTGGGCAGTGTCTTTCTCGATGTTCATAGTGTCTTGTACTTGTAAGCTTTCTAATAGCTTGCACATTGTCAAGACAGGGAATATAGTCTGGCCCAGCAGTGACATTACAAAGTTTCCACATATGGCCACTTTGGTCCTTGGACAATAAAGATTTTTGTGATTCCTTCTCATTCTCAGACTCAGCTGCTTGAGTTGACCAAGCCCCATTCTGAGTGTTAGTTTCTTTCAAAATCTCAGACTGAGCCCCAGCAGTGGAGACCTCATTTGCAGCATGGTCCTTTGCCTGGTCTTCCATCTTGTTTTCACCGGAGCTTTCTTCTGAACTCTTATCTTGATTTTCTCCAACATTCTCGTCGCTCTGCTTGTCCACTTCATCTTCTTGCTTTGGATCCTCTGTATCTGATTTTTTCTCACCATCATCCAAATTTGTTTTATTCTCACTTGAGCTGTCCTCCGATTCTTGCTGCTCACTTCCATTTGATTCACCGCCCTGTGTATTTGTATCTCCTGAATTTGATTCCCCATCTCTTGGATTAGATTCATCATTTTCCTTTTTTACATCTCTATCATTTTCATCCTCTCTCTTGGATTCCTCTTCAGGCTCACTTTTCTCTTCAGCATTTTCCTTCACAAACTCTTCTTCCTGCATTCCCCCGGAAGTATTCTCAGACTCTTTTTCAACTAAATTTTGACTGTCCTGGATATCAGAGTTGTTCTTATCCCTAAAATTTTCAGGGTTACCATCTTTTATTGCATCCTCTGGTAAATCACCTGAACCATCCTCAAATTGCTTAGAATCATTCTCGGCTACTTTCACCTCAGTTTTAGGCTCCTCAGAAGACAAGTCTGAGTTCTGAACAGGGACAACAGATGAAGACATCAACATCCAAACCCCAACTAAACAAACACCAACAAACATGACAACAGTAACAGTTGAACAGTAATTGGATGACTTCCTCCCATCAACACGGGAATATCTTCCCAAAGCCATGTTTTAGGTACAGTTTTTAATACTGTGTACCTGAAAAGGGAAAATTAGAAATAATAAATAATAAAACCCAGAATAAAAAATAACTTAAAAAAAAAATAAAAAATAAAAAATTTGCTTCTTATACCAGTTGGATTTTCAAGAGACTAAAGAGAAATACTAGTCAAAGCAATGAATCAAGTACAGAATAAGAAATTGAATTAGCACAGAGACACAAATAGAAAGACATGCAGCCAAAGTCCACCACAATCACTCAGATCTAACTCCAGGGGTAGCAAATCAAAGATCATAAGCAGAAACCTATAAGAGGCATTCAATTTAGGGTCCAGAAAAGAAGTAATGTGTGTGAATATGTAAAAAAATATATAGAGAGAGAAAAATGTGAACTGTTGACATTCTACTGGAAATGGTCTTTTTCAATTCATTCACATGTGTTTGCTGGGGTATGCCCCAAACCTCATTCCATTGTACTGAATGTTCTATTCTGTGAAATGGAAATCAACTCACTTATGAAAAGGGGGAAAAAAAAAGGTAATTGGGCACATACGGTTTGGTCTGTTTGCGTGGGTCTGCCAGAGTCCCAAGTGGACTCTGTATGTCAGTACAAAATATCCCTAACTAACACAATTGGTCTGTACCAATCAGACATTATTGGTCTTATGCAAGCAATGTAATAAACTACGGATGCCCCTTCCGTTAAGGTCATTGTTGCCTCAAAATGAGGACTTCTAACAATTGAAAAAGATACAATTTGGAATGACAATGAGTATAAAATAAAAGTACCTAGTCTTTTGTCCTCTAAAATATTAACTTTTTAAATATGCAATGAACCCACCTTACCAATTTTAACCAAATCTGTCTACCACTTTGTACAATTAAAACAACGTACTTCCTTCTTTTCCTTCAAATCATACTCCAAGAATTATGACCGATTTATATACTAAACCGGTCTTGTATCAACTATTTACTCTGCATCCAAATTACATTGAATCAAGTATTGACTTGATCGATTTCATATTTCCAATCATAAGATTTAGAATGATTTGCATATCAAACCGGGCTTTCGAATTATCTTAAAATTTTAATAAGTGTCTAAGTACTAAAATCCCTATGCTGAATTGTCCTAATCGGTCTACATAGCACAATACTGAAAATGACATAATTTGGCATAAACATGTTGGATGATTGTACCTAAATTGGCCGGACACATTTGCTTTAAATTTAATTAACCTCTTCGATATCATATTTTGCCTGACTTCATTTAGGTCTCATTTTAAAACAAAAAAAATTATGCCATATTCCTTGTGACCGATTTTTTAATTAAATTGATGTATTCATACTCTGCATTTGAATCATCCCACCAACTGCTTGTGTTAAGCATTCCTTGCATGAAATTTTCTAATTGTCAAGACCGTTGGGAATTTCTTCTTGCCACATGCAAATGTTGTGATTTTTGGGTATAAGCACTTACCATTATAGAACTTCTAGCACAAATATAAACATCGTATACATCTTTTCAACAATATTTTTAAATATCTCAATTGAAAAGAAATTATGTCTCTCTAAGAAATAAAAGGTGCAAATGTCATTTAAACATGTGAGCATTATACAAACTATATCAGTTGTGAGTATTTATATACATGTTAGCATATGTTATAAGTTTCTACACACTTTCTGTTTGTAAGTATTACAATAATAGGATTGTTAATCCAAAACAAAAAAGTGAAATTAATAGGTAATAATCATTAAATACACTAGTAAACCATGTTGGTTCTTGAAAATTATTAGTTATTAGTTTGTATGGTGTATGTGTGTGAAACTAAAAATAAAATAAAAACAACAGTATATTAGATGTACACAAAGAATATGCTGGATGGAAAAAACCAACGTTGAAAGAAATTCTTCAATAATAAAAAAATGTCAGAATGGAGTGTGAGAAAGGATTCGGGATATGTTCCCCTTTTGAAGGCTTTCTAATACATATTTACTTATCAAAAAAAAAAAAAGTGCGAGAAAGCATACATCAAATCATTTCTATGTGTAACTTATAGTTTAAATCACTATATACTCCAAAGATCTTAGACATGAATTACATCGATTTGAATAAGATATTAGTTTTAAAAATCACTCACAAGGTTTCACACAAAAGCTCCAAACTCAAATGCATGCCCTCTTGATCCTTTACATTAGCCATCATAAGAGAATATGATGTAGAAGAAGACTTCGATTAAAGTGATGACCTCCTCACTCGACCTCCCTTATACATTAAATGTAACATTTGGGGCCTTTTAGGGTCACAGTAATGTTTATCTATGATCACCATCATTGATACCAATCAAGACTTTATGGCCACTTACCATTACCTATGATGACATAGTTAGTGATATAGTTATGTGCTTATAAATAACTCATGGTGAACTTACAACCTCAAGGGTTATAGCCGGGTGGTATCTCATCTACTTCTCAACGTAAAAGGTTGAGTGCTCAAGTCCCTACACGGGCAAAGTGAGCGTATGGCATATTTGCTAGGGAAAAAAATAGTGAGATTACAAGTTCTAGAACTCATAGAGTTTCTTCACCCCTCTTTCTTTTTCTAAGTAGCACTGACACGGACATGGGACATAGACAGGATACAACACTAATACATCAACACATTAAATCCTAAAAGAGTATCACATGGACACAACGTTTACATGAGTATAAAGTTTTATGTTTATGCATCTATTAAATAAGACAATAATACAACTTATTTAATTTCTATACTAAGATCTACATATACAAGATCAAATTAATAAGAAACAGGTGATAATAATGAAAGTAATGAAATCACATGCTATGTATTAATTTCTAGCAGAATAATAAAAAAAAAATTTTAAAATAGAAAAACAGACACCCTCTGCGGCACCCAAACAAGATCTTCCAACTATCAGCTGAATTTCTGAATTTAGCTCAACATTGTCCACCAAAATTCTTTTTCCCCAAATTCGAGATACTAATAGCTGTGTAATTCATTTTCCAAATCGGTAATTATGGAACCATATTAAATAAGGTGTCCAAAATAAAAAACTAAGCTTTAAGAGAAGAAAGTGAACCATAAATGACCAATAAGATCAAAAAAGTAACTTTCTATGGGAGTTAGTTTGAACTAAATCAATCAACTTTTGACCAAGATCTAAAGAGCAAATTAACATCAATTGAATCTAACCCATCAGTACAAAACATTGAACCAAAAATCACATACTAGCAAAAAGGGAACAACCCATAAAAACAAACTTCAAAAAATGTGCACTAGATTCATACAATCGAATATTAATACAAATATATATATATACAAAAAAGAAAACACAGAGAGTCTTGTGATTTTAGGAACAAGAAGTACCTCTTCTTACTTGGCAGAGACTGATTCGTTATGGATCTATTGAAGGGGGTTTAAGCTCATTTTCTACAAAAAGAGAGAGAGTTGAGGAAGCATGTCAGTTGAGAATTGAAGATATATAGGCTTTATAGCAGAGAAAATATCTGTTCCCTTTACTTCTGGAGAGAGAGAGGTAACAGTCATTTAACTCACGAGCCATGACCCATCACTCCGTGTTTAAACAAAGTTTATATTAGAATATACCAGAGAGAGAGAGACCATTTGCCGACTTGCCGTACTCTTGCAAAACCAGAGCAAGTTGGAAAATAATAAAAGAATAAAAATGTCGGTTGGAAGTGTAATTTTGTGAGATTTGCAAATGGTTTTTTTGTAAATATGAAGCGTTTGACTGTTTGAGGAGATCTATAAATTGTGCCAATTGGAAAGCAAAAATCCAATGATTCTATGACAACAAAGCGTTTGTGGGGGCAATCATGTCTTTATGAAATTAGGTTTAGATTTGAATGCGCAAATTTTCAAGATGTGAACTGTGAAGACCATTATTGTTTGCAAGATGTGGGGCCAATCGGAAGATTTCAACTTAGAGAAGAGAGATTGTAGAGTTTGGAAAAAATTTGGTTGTACAGACTTTAAGCCCCCATTCAATAATGCAAGGACTTTATTAATTCTAACCATGTGGAAGATGTTGAGATGATGGCCACCGAGGATGGTGATTGACAACACAACCATGCACCGACAGACCAAAGCTAACCCTCTTATATATTTATATAACATTTATATAGATATATATGTATATAGATATACACACTACAATAAATAAATAAATAAATAAATAAATAAGAACAGTCGAGCAGGACGACAAGGATTTGAGCAGGGTTAATATATGCAATTTTACAAACCTCAGTAAATAAGAAAAAACCTCTGACACCCTCTCAAGCTCACCAAACCTCAAGGATTAGCCCTCAAGACCGAAACATTCTGAGATTAAAGTTTTTCTCATGTCCACCAAACCCAGAGGTAATTCCCGTGTCTCAAAAACCCTAAAAGCTTTTCTCAGGTGCTCTTTGAGGCCCAAAAATCCTGAGCTCTTCGAGGCCAAAAAATCCTGAGACTCTCTCAAACCTTGAATTTTTTTAAAAATTTGAGTTATTGGTAAAGTTTTTTTTTATAACTTTCCTAAAAACAATTATTTCCTTTAGACTCAACAAGTAGAGAGATTTGAAAGTGGGCCAAAGATTTGTATCCTTTCTCACATTCTTTTTGCCAGGCCCCAAAATTTTTTTATTTATATATTATAATCTTCCTAAAAAAAAATTTGTTTTCTATTATTAAACCTTTAACAATAGAGAAATATAGTAGTGGACCCAAAATATTTCTAGGGGTAAGTGCAAGAAACACCCCTAAAGTATACATTTCATAGCATTTTTACCCCCTGTTTAAAAAGGTGTACAAAAAACACCCATATTCTTTTCAATTTGTGCAAAAACACCCCTCAATTAATATAATACCCATTTTACCCTTTTACTCTACCAAAAATATCCCTACCAAACCTAATTCTCCACCCCTAAAATGGTAACCACCGGGCGAGTTCGTGAGATTGGGAAAGCCAGTTCGTTAAACAACCAGTAAAACAACCAAGCTTACCTTTTAACCTAAAAAAATACCAGTAAAAGAATCACTTCCCAAATCTCATTAGGTTCCAAAGAGAAAAATACTCCTATGCCACGATGGTACAGGTTATGGCACTCAAAACAGTTTCGCATACACCAAGTAAAGCAACTCAATTGCAAAGCCACTGAGATACATGAATTCGTGCTTCATTCAATATTGTGCAAAGCCACTGAGATACATGAATTCGTGCTTCATTCAATATTGTACAAGAATCAGCTGAATCACAAAGGCCAATAAAGACTGAAAAGTATGTGCTGGTGCATTGATTTATATGAAAACCAAATCAAAGTATCCTCAATTGCAAAAGTCAAGGAATTCAGGCAAGTAAGATGGTCATCCTTATTAGTTGCATTATAGAATTCGAAGTTTTTTTTTTTTTAAGTATTACAGAATTCAAAGTATTTACATCTCATAATCATGTGTGCATGAAGCCATCACTGTGCCCAGGTCCTCTTCACAGCCGACCGCAGTTCACCACCGCGAGTTCACCGTCACAGCCCGTTGGTCGCCGGCAACTGATTCAGTCCAGCCCTCCACCGGCCGAGCTCTCCTTACCGTTCTCCATCTCTTACTCGTTGCCGCCTCCATCACGACCGAGCCACATCACCAAGCTCTCTCTTGCTCGCTGCAGCCTCCATCACAGCCGATCTTCACCTCACCAGCCGTCCCTCAACATAGCCGAGCCCATCTTCTCCTTGCCTGCCGGTGCCGCGCCGACCCATCACAGCCAAGTACTCCGTTCCAAGCTCGCCACTCAAGCCGTTGCTTCACCACTCACCACCCAAATCCAAATTCCAGTTAAGGGCGTTGAGGAACTAATCCTCTGATTTCGCAGAGTTCTCTAGCAGAGGCCCAAATTGAGTAGTCTGAGAGAAAACAGAAGTTTGACGGTAGAGAATTGCAGATTCCAGCGACAAGGTGAGGAACCAATCCTCTGTTGGGTATGGGTTGGGATTGGGATTATGTGGGTGTGGCGGCAAGGGATGGCTGATGAAGAAGAAGAAAAGGGCTAAACCCTTTTTAGTCCTTTCACAAAATAATTTTTTTTTTTTTATATATATTATAAAATGTGTTGCTAAGGGCATTTTAGTCCAATTTTTGTAAATAGGACATATTTGCACAAATATCATAGTTTAGGGGTGTTTTTTGCACTGGAGGGGTGCAATATGCACTGTAAGCATACTATAGGGGTGTTTTTTGCATTTGACCCAATATTTCTATCCTCCTATGTGGGCGGAGACCCCTAAATTTTTTTTTAAAAAAGAAAGTGAAGTGAAGTGAACGGAAATTAAGTTTTCAAGTCAGTTTAGTTAACACTTCAAAAAAAATCAAGAAAATTATGTAAAATTATTATTTTATGATTTAAATAGTATGTAATTTACCATAAAAGAAATGATAATATTGTAAGTTCACAAAACTTTTTTAGTAAATCAAAATTTTCTTATGTTTTTTGCAAGAAAATTTTATGAAAAAATTAGGTAGTTCTGGAACTGATTTTCGTCAAAAATTTTCCTTCCCTGACTAACCAAACTCCTAAAATGTTTAAAAATTTATATTTCCTTTCTTTTCTTACTATTTCCATCCAACCAAACAAAACCTAAAGATGGTGTTTATAGAAAATTATTTAGAATTATATACAAATCTCTATCAACAAGTCTTGGGAGCATGGGAAAAAAGAAAAATTAAAGTATTGTGAGAGCACGATGGCAAGAATGCCAACAACAATAATGATATTATATATGTTAATATTTTTAGTTATAAATAAAAAAAAATCTATAACTACTCATTATATAAATTATTAAAGTACTTCTCTATTTTAATCATAATAATTGTATAGATTAAACCTTGTGAGATTTGTTTAGTTAGAATTATTTATTAATTTTTAAAAATAAAATTATCAAGATAATTGTGATATATATTTGCAAAAATAGGATCAAAGTATTAAAAAAAAAAAAAAAATTGAAATTAAAGTTTTGAAAAATTGAAACAATTACTAAAGAAAAATTTATTTTCTTTCTTATATTAGTTTTGTATCTATTTATTTGGGTTGCACTTTTTTTTTTCTTTTTTTCTTTTTTTTTGGGGGGGGGGGGGGGGTGGGGTTATATATTTTCAAAGACATATGTATATATACACACTTAGTAAGATCAATATTTATATAAAAAAATTATATTACAATTATTTACATTTTTTCAAAATTTTACATAATACTAAATCGCACCACCCCCAAATCCAGATTTATGGCTCCACACCTGCTTGGATCACCTGGTTTTTTTTTTTTTTTTTTTTTTTTTTTTTCTCTCTCTCTCTCTCTCTCTCACACACACACACACACACATATATACTAGTAAAAAATACGTGCAATACACGTGGTCAAAACTTAAAATTTAATTTATAACTTTTATAACGAAAATTTATTTTTATAAATAATTAATAAGAAAATTGTTAAGTAATTAATATTTTTAATATTTATGAAGTCATTATAAATATATATTTATAAGAATTGCAGTTTTATTATTTCTTTTATTAAAAAAATTTTGTAAACAATAATCAAGTACAAATAATAAAAAATTAATTGTATTCTAAACCTAAACTAAACAATAATCAAGAGAAATAATACAGCTTCTATATGTAAAAAAATTAGTTGTGATCATATGTAAAAAATTAATTGTGATACAAAACTAAACAAAATAATAATCAAGCAAAAATAATATAGTTTGTATATGTGTGGAAAATCTAAGATTCTCACTGGACTATAGGGTAATCTCAACCGAATAATGGATATCTTAAGAAAAATTGCATACAAGGTGGTTAAGAGTCCCCTTCTACCATGCAGCGGCCCTGGTTTTTAGGCCAGCTCGTCTTGTGATGAACCGAACGTAGATCCTATAACGAATCTAGAATGAGAAAGTAAGAAACAAGACAACGGTCCCCTAAGGCACAACACACCTCTAAGACACTTTGATGACCTTCTATGAGGTCGTGGAACTCAATGAGAACTGACGCGGAAGTAAAAGATCAGAAATATGACAAATAAGTCCTCAGGGGCAAAATAGTCATTTTACATGGAAATGACGTCCCTAGAATGTATATTATTTTCGAGACACATCCATGACTTCCAGTGAAGTCATGGAACTCAAAAGAAAGTAGCGGAAGCGAATTATAAGAAAACTGGACAAAAATAGCCCCAAGGCAAAATGGTCATTTCTGAAAATATAGATTCGGGTGCTACTGAGCACACCAATAGAAAGACAATGAAAGATTAATCAAGATGGACTCAAGAATCGAAGGAGAAACGGCAAAACAATGAAAAACGGACATACAAAGCAAAAAGGGTAAACTGGTAATTATCTAGGAAGATCCAAGTGCAACCGAGCACACCGTTGGAAAGACAGCAAAAAAATAGTCAAGTTCAAAAAAATTTTTACTCGATTTGGAGTCCGGACGAGGGAGAAAGGTCAAAAACAAAAAGAGGGTCATGACAGTTACAGTGCTGCCGACTCACTGCTGCTGTAACTAAAAGTAAAAATGGGCATCTAAACGGACTTTTTTTGGAAAAACTCAA